CAGCTTTATTTATACAGTGTCTTAACAAGGTTGCGTAAATCTTAGCGCATGAGGTAGAGATCAACCTTAAAGAGGAAACACTGTGTGCTTGCCCATAACAAGGAAAGTCTGCCTGGGCCATGTGACTGCTGGCAGGTGGAGGGAATGTTGTTACAGGAGGACAAGTGGTTGGGGGGTGCTCTCTGAGTGTTTCCCAGGCCGTGGGGGCCCTGCCACCCACAGCCCGCTCCCCACACAAGGGATCCTCCCACCTTATCCTAAAGAGTGCCTGAGACTCGAAGTACACCCCACCATGCCTGGACATTGATTGTCTGTTGAGACCCAATCTCACTATGTTACTCGGGCTGTTCTCGAACTCCTAGCCTCAAGCAATTCTTCTGCCTCAGCACCCAAAAGTGCTAGGATTACAGGAATGAGCCATTATACCCAGACTCATTACCTAAATGTTATGTCCAGATTTATTTTAACTAATCCCTCTTCAAGGAGTTCCTCTAGAACCTGAACACAGCTTTCCCAAGGACGTTATTGACTGTCTCTCAGGAACAAAGCACACCCTTTTGACACAAACTTTGAGGTTGTTCAGGTTACGCACATATGCAACCTTTTTGTTTTTTGAGACTGAGTCTCACTATGTCACCCTCAGTAGAGTGCTGTGGTATCATAACTCATAGCAACCTCAAACTCTTAGGCTTAAGCGATTCTCTTGCCTCAGCCTCCCAAGTAGCTGGGAGTACAGGTGCCTGCCACAACGCCCAGTATTTTCTTTTTGTTGTTGTAGTTGCCATTGTTGTTTGGCAGGCCCGGGCTGGGTTCCAACCCTCCAGCCTCAGTGTATTTGGCTGGAGCCCTAGCTGCTGTGCTACAAGCACTGAACCCATATGCAACCAACCCCTGCTGTGTTTGCAGACACTGAACAAACACAAATTATGGAAATTCAGATTTACCTAAAAGAGAAATTCAGAATGCTTTCTTTACAAGATGATTTGCCACAGAATTTCTCCACCAATTCTGCTGCAGGTGATCAAACACATTTAAAAAAATTGTCACATGCCACCTATAACACCCTTTGTGTTATAGGTCATAATGGAGAATGACTAACTGCTCCCAAGGAATTATAGCCAGGATGGGATAGAGCTGTATAAACAATTAACCGTAACTCAATCTTTAAATCAATTTAAAATAAGGGTGCAAGTAACATGTTATAAACATGGAGAGAAGGCAGTAATGCATTCTGATTAAAATATTAGTGAACATTCAGCAATTTTAATTTTAGCTGAGCATTAACATACCAGAAGCAGCATTTGGCTCAATGGTGCAACAGACTGTCTCGGTGGCCCACTCTGATCCCCTGCTATCCTCTACTGATTTGGTTGATGCTCCCAAACCTTTGTTGTGAGTTACGTCGGCCAACAGTTTGCAAGACCAGCCTTCACTGAAGGAGTCCTCTGGAAGAGAACTGAAGCTCTCCTGCCTCTGCTTACCTCATTGACAGTGCTCAGTGATTGATTGGATGGGAAAAGCTCCACCTCCTCATCTCAAAGCAGGACAGTATCTATGGTGCAACTTCCATTCCCCACTGGGTCATGCCTACACGTGCTGCGCCATAGCCGGCCCTTCCTCTGCTCTTACTGTTTCCCTCGCTGAAATTATACCATAGAAAGGTACAGTTCCCAGCTGCATCTGCTGGATCTAGGAAACTGTGCGTAGGTGTGATGCCGGGGTGCAAAATGATGAACCCTAAGGCTGGATAAAGCAGAGTTTATCGATGCGGAGGCCCTCCTGGGAGACAGAATCGCATGCCCTGGGAAGGCTCACAGGAGCTTAGGAAATTGTTAGTGCCCATTAAAAGAATAGAATTGCATTGGGTGGGGAGAGAAAGGGATCAAAGGCTCAGGGAAGCAGGTCTATTATATAAGTCCCAGAACTCACAGCTGACTGCATTTCTCAGAATGCCTGGAGGACTTTCTTTCCCTTGGTGCGCCTCACCGCTGCAGCAACAATTTGATCCAGAGAGTCTTGTGTGAGGACCTGCATCACGCAGTTCCGTTCCCTGTTCAGCCCAGTGATCTCAGAGTGGGGGACTGGGGAGTTGGCATATAAACGTGAGACTCTGGAAGCGGCAGAGAGCAGAACCTCTACGTGAGTGTGAAAGCTCTTACCCACCGGGAAGAAAAACATTGTAAATGGTACTGAGTGTACCATAACAAGAGCAGTTACAGCCGGAGTGGTTGCAGCCTGGAGAATCAGTGCTTCTGTTCTTCTGTCACAGAGGGAGGATTTGGAACCACTGACACATGGTGCGTTGGGAGGGAGCATAATGTTGGCCCCCGAGAAAGGTGCCCTGTAGCGATGAAAAATATGGTCCTCCTCCTGGCAACATCTGTCACCTTTGCTTATGCCCAAAGTGTGGTTACTGTTGCTTTTTTCAGAACATACTTTGGATTTTCATTTTAGGCAAGATATCACACACACATCGCCCATCAACGCTCTTACAGCATTTGCTGAGACATATGGGAAGAGGAGTGAGGAGCAGAATATCCCCGGGAAAAGTGACAGAAGAGCAGAGCCAAGTTCAGTTCTCACCAGTTAAACCAGAGTTCACCCCGAACGGAGTCCTAGGAGCAAGACTGTTTGCAAAATATAAGAAATGTTGGTCATTCTTATCCAACTGCTGCAGTGCTGCCGTTGGAAGATTATAGAAGTCTTTACAATGAATTTAAAATAAAGTACTCACGTTTTGTACACACTACCTTCCTTCCAACTATTGTGCTATTTGTATGCCTTTAACTTTCATTAGACCTTTCAAGTTAATATTTTCTATTTGAAATCCATTGGGTCTATTGTCTTTTTTAAAAAATGAAACTGAAAAAGAAAAGCTGGTTGAATTTAACTTGTTTCATTACTGGGTTTTCCTGGTAGAGTAAAGCAGCCACAAAATAACACCACGGTCCTTTGCGATTGTGGGCCGCCCATCTATCCTCTCTCTGAGATACAGCGTAGTCATCTGAGAGATCTACAAAGCTTTTCTCCTCGGCTGTCCTCTATTGTGGCATTTACCTTTCCTCACTCATCCGTGTCAGCATGTTGATGCCACGTGTGGTCAGAGCAGAGGCCCCTGAAGATGGGCTACATCTAATGTTGAGTAATTATCCTTTCTCCCACTAGGAAACCTCAGATGTTTTCCCTCATAACTTTGTTTACATAATGATTCTTTTGGATCTAGGCATAGCTGACCAGCCCCATGGCACAGCTGATCAGCCCCATGGTACAGCTGACCAGCCCCATGCCATAGCTGACCAGCTCCACAGCACAGCTGATCATCCCCAGGGCACAGTTGACCAGCCCCATGGCACAGCTGATCATCCCCAGGGCACAGCTGACCAGCCCCATGGCATAGCTGACCAGCCCCATGGCACAGCTGACCAGCCTCAGACAGATCCAATCCCATAGATGGCATTAATGTCAATACATTTTCGTCTATCAGCAATTTTTAGAATGTTTTTCCTTTAATGCCCTCTTTGCAGAGCTCATGACTCAGTCCAAATTAGATCAAAATTAAGGCATTTATTTCTATTCCCCATATTAAGGAAGACTGGATATCCCAGAGAAGGGGAAAAACACTCCAGTTATAAACAACTAAAAATGCTAGGAAAACTAAGAAATATCCCTTTAATGCAAAGCTTTGCTTATGAAAAAATGAAGGAAATCTATGGGCTCAAAACCACATAAGAAAGCACAAACTAGAAAGCTGAGCACTCAGTGAAGCCAGCAATTTCTCTGCAGACTTGGGTTGAATGAACCACAATGATGTTGGAAGACAAATCAAGACGTAGCATCATGTGGAAAAGCTGGTCAAAGACTTAGATGAACAGGTTTCCAAAAGTCAATACCCTAACAAAATTAAAAATCAAGCAAATGTGAACACCAGAGGGCACAGGCAAGGAAGTTTATCTATCACAACCTGGGGCAGCACTAGACGTCAGGTAGAACTTCCTCCTGAGAATTCATAACCACAAGCTCACACGTCACTGGTATAGCACAGAAACATGTACTTAGAAACAAAAGGCAGGCGAACAAGGTGTCCAGGCTGGGTTTGGGTGACTAATTGTAAAGCTGTAATTCAGGCTGCTCCTTTTCTTGTCAACAGCCAATGAGGAAAACATAAACTGTGGCATGTATTCCTAACAAAGGGATTTAATACAGGGAATTGGAAGAAATGTGTTAGAAAAGCTGGCTGAGCAAAAGAGAAGCAGGGTGTTACCCAGAACCCAGAACACCGCTTCCACTGCTGGGGCAAATTCATGAGCCTACAGTCAGAACTGATCCTTCTGGAGGCATTCAGCCACTGCTGCTAAGAAGAAACTGCCCCTGCTGCCCTTACCGGAGACCCTCATGCCAACTCTGTGCAGCAGCTGCCACTGAGGCTGCTGGAACCAAGGCCACCACACAGAAGAACCTGAGATTCTCACCACTTCCAGAGCCAGAAGCTGAAGTGCCTTCCTTCCTCCTGCTGTCTACTTCGGCTTCAGAACCTCCCCCGCTGCACCAATCTGAAATCCAGCCCTCAAAAGAGTCCAGTAACATGATTTCAGTCTTTCTGGAAAGAGTGTGGAAGGGAGAGATTGTGTCTCAGTATTAGCAGACAGGACTTGCAAACTTACATATTTTTAAAACATGATATCATTGGATCAGGCTTGTATCTTACTATCTCTAGCTTAATACACATAAAAAATGCCCAAGAGAAAAATTGTACATAGTTTTAAGAACAAAAGATATTTTCTTAGGGAGTAATGCATAATGAAACAGGCAGTTGACTCTGGCTAGCTTTTAAATTCTGTTTACTAGAAAAATAAATAAAAACCAAGTTCATGTGATTTGACCTTGAGCTGATCTTCAGAGTCGATGGAATTTTCTAATGTGGAACTTTACTTCTCTGTGAAGTAGGAAGCTGAAACACAGGATCATTTATTCACCCATTCAGCAGTTTGATTGGCATGGGGGGCGGCTATCTTCATTGTTCTGACTTCTATGGACAAGGCGTGAGGACATTATGGCCTCATCTGCAACTTGACAATTGAAGAGGATAGCCTTTTAATAAAGAATTAGTGCATACTAGGTGCACAAAATACATGCATGAAGGCATGAAGATGAGGTGAGGGAAAGCATTAGAGGGTAAAAGAAATAGCATTGAAAATATGGTGGGCTCGGGAAGTGATTTTCTTTTTTTTAGTGTGAGAAATACTATAGACTAGAGTGTCTCGTACTGTATTTCTTTTTTCTTTTTATACAACAACTTTTAGTTTTCAATGAGAATAGTAGGAAAAGGAAATTATCTTCCATGCTGTTTCTTTTTTAAGTTATATATTTACAATGTGTACAAAATGTTTCTATAGGTATACATATATACATACACACTCTGTAAAATAATTTAATCAAGCTATTTAACCTATCCATCACCTCATATATTTATCATTTTTGTAATGAAAACATTTAAGTTGGCTCTCAACAGTTTTAAATCATGCAAGACATTGTTACGAATTATAGTCACTGTATTGTACGATAGAGCAATAGGTCTCTGACTGATTTATCCCGTCTAACTGAAACTTCATACCCTTTGATCAAATATCTCCCCATTTTCTGTCCCACACTCCCCATCACCTCCAACCTGTGGAAACCACCATTCTGCTCTCTGTGGGAAGTACTGTTGAATGCTGTTTCACAATCAGTATCACCACACAGAACAGAATCCCTAAGTCCTTATGAGGCCCTGCGTGAACTGACCCCTGGCTACCACTTGGCCTTCATCTGCTCCCACACTGGCTGTCCAACCTCCAGGTCTGTCCTTAGCTCTTCCCCCTGCCTGGAACTCTCCCCCTCTAAGTATTTGATTGGCTTGCTTCTTTGCTTCATCAGGTTGCTGCTCAGCTATCACTTCATTAAAAAGGTCTTTCCTTTCCACTTTAACTAATACAGATTCCCTCTTCTTCCCTTGATGGACTTTCCCTAATGGCATGTATCTCTAGCTGCCTTTACCTGTTTTTACATACATGTACATTATATATTCATCCATTGACATTACATGCTTATACATTAAGTACTCATCCATTGACATTACATGCTTGTACATTATATACTCATCCATTGACATTACATACATGTACATTACAGACTCATCCATTGTCATTACATACATGTACATATATACTCATCCATTGCCATTACATGCTTGTACATTGTCTCCCATCACACACACACAGCTATGCATCTTGCTTTATTTGGTGCTGTACTTCATCACCTAAAATAACATAGTACATGGTAGATATTTGATAATTATTTTCAATATAAACTAATAAATAGTTGATTGAAAAGATGAATCTGTGGGTAGGAGAAAAAGGTGAAGATGTGGCTAGGATGCCTTGGTGGAAAACAGAATGCAAGGTTAGGATATCAGACTGTGTTATTTTGTGGTCAAGAAGTATCAACAGAATGAGAGAATACAAAGAGAAAGTAAAGGGAGTCTTAGTCACTTTTCTAGGTTATAAATTTTGCCTGAAATTGGTCCTTTGGCCAATCATTTTGGCTTCTAAATCCAAGAGAAAATGCTTTTGTTATATTTATGAGGCTTACAAGGGGGAAACTACTTAGGCTTATATCAAAATTGAGCCTAAAATTTAAAAAAAGAGAGAGAGATTTGCTTCCAAATACTGCAGCCAGAATAAAATATGCTAAAGATAAAAATATTACAGAATCTGGTTGGATGACTAACTTGTGAAATCCCCTGCCCATCCTCCTTTCCCAATCACTGTCGCCTACAATAACTGCAGGGAAATCTCCTAGAGAAGCATATAGTGAACAAGTGATCAGTTCCAAAGAAAAAAATGCGGGGGGGGGGGCAGGGAGATAAAACTTAGAATGATGACATGGCAAGTAAAATTAGCATGAGAAAAACAAAGATCTGGGAATCCGAGCCAGCCTGGCCAGCACAGCACAGCCCAGCCCAGCTCAACCAGCTGTCCCATGGCATGTATTGAGGGGACTGGAGAGGGCTCTGTCTCCTGCAAGAACTTTTCCTACCTTGATGAGTGCAACTTCCACCCACTACACTCTGATACATTCTGTCACTCCCTCCCTCTGACCTTGGAGCCCAGGCTTTTTTCCTTGGTGCCTTGTCAAGAACAAGATATATATTCTACATAAATGTGAAACAATTTATGAGCCCCTCATGACAGTGAATCCTCCTAAAGAGTTTCCTTTAAAGGTGCCTTGTCAAGAACAAGATATATATTCTACATAAATGTGAAACAATTTATGAGCCCCTCATGACAGTGAATCCTCCTAAAGAGTTTCCTTTCCTGGCTGCTTAGTTAATAGGACTAGCACCTAGATTTCCTACATTTATTCAAAAACATAAGACACTTAACACAGGACATTAGGGAATCTAGATTAGGAAGCAACGTACCTTCTTTTGCTGTCCTAACAAGGCATTGTAAGGTGGTCGGAGCAGGGACCGTCTTTCTTTAATCATGATAATTATGTAAATCATTATTATAGATAAGCACAGGACAGAAGTAAAATTAA